CTTCCCATACAGGCATCGCCAGCGGGCTTTTAAACAGCCGAATGCACACTCCACAGTCATTCTGCACTTGCTCAGCCTGTTGTTGAACCGCTCCTTGCTGATGTCCAGTTGCCCGGTGTACGGCTTCATAAGCCACGGCATTAAAGGATAGGTGGGGTCTCTCAGGATCACAATGGGCATTTCAATTTCCCCTACAGTGATCTTCTGGTCCAGGAAGAAAGTCCCTGCTTGCAGCTTCCTGAACAGGCCAGTGTTCCGAAAGATGCGTGCGCCATGCACCTTTCCGGACCAGCCTGCGTTAATGTCCGTGAAACGCCCACGGTGATCCATAAGCGCCTGGAGAACCCTTGAGAAATACCCCTTGCGATTAATGTACGCGGTGGCTAGGTGGTCTGGTGCCAGAATTGGAATATGTTTGCCATCTATTGCCCCTCCGCAGTTAGGGAAGCCCATTTGTGCAAAGCCATCCACAGTCTCACGCAGGTTGCCCAGCGTCACGGTCTTTCAGAGCAGAATGCGATTAATGGCTGGACACTTCCGTCAACATGAGTCCAACAGTCGACTTTCCCACTCCGAACTGGTTAGCGACTGATCGGTAGCAGTCTGGAGTAGCCAGCTTCCTCAGTGCAGTCACCACGCGCTTCTCCAACGATGGGGCAGCTCTCATTCTCATGTCCTTGCGCCGCAGGGCTGGGGCGAGCTCATCACACAGTCCCATGAATGTGGCTTTCCTCGTGCGAAAGTTCTGCAGCCACTGCTCGTCATCCCAGACGTGCATGACGATGTGATCCCACCACTCAGTGCTTGTTTCCCAAGCCCAAAAGCGACGTTCCACTGTGGTTAGCACCTCTGTGAATGCCACAAGCACTCTCGTGTCGTAGCTACTACGCGTGGCGAGATCAGTGTCACACTCCTCTTGCCTTTGTAGTTTAAGGAAGAACTCCACTGCCATTTGTGATGTGTTAGTCAGAGCGAGCAGCATATTGGTCAAGAGTGCGGGATCCATTCCGGCAGAGCACGCAGTACACAAACCGTAGGAAGATGGCGCCAAATGCGGATGGAAGCACATGGATTGATGGGATGCGAAGCAATGCATCATGGGGCATTGGGACAGGACCTAGGATGCCCCACGACCCCTTCTGCCTTCCCACAACTCTTAGCGGCAGAAGAGGAAGAGATGCTCTGTGGGATAGCTGCCCAGAGTGCACCGCTCCGAATACCGCTTCAAGTGCCGCAAGTGGTAACACGCTATTGCGTAGGCAGCTGATGGTGTGAACACACAACTGCGGTTTCCCTTCAGCGCTCTCTGAGCGGCGCCGTAACCGCCGACGCTGTAACTCTGCCAGTGTAGACGTACCCTTAGTGTGTGGCAAGCCAGGATGTAAATCTACAGCACGCCAGCTTGCCAGGCAGTAACTCGCTAAGTCCTGCTGCTCCAGCGCGGTGAAGATCCGAGAGTGTGGCTGGGAACCCCCGTCTCGGTTCCAAGGGCGCCCAGTCTGGGTTGGAGTGGGTGATTTCTGGACTCCCTGCCAGACCCATAAGACTCAGTCTCCCATTCCGGGTCCCCAGGGTCGTCCAAAATGATCTGAGCAGGAATGGTTTTCTCCAAGCATGTCTGGCACCTGCCACTGACTTGATTTGGGTTGGAAGGTAACAAATCGGAGGGGTGTTAATTTGCGGAATGATGGCCTAGTGCTTTGGGGCACAAGCCGAGGCTGTGAAAGAACTGGGTCCAAGCCCCTGCTCTGCCACAGGTTCCCTGTGTGACCTGGGCCCAGATCCTCAGGTGTTTGGGTGCCTAACTCCCATTCATTTCCAGAACCTCGGAGAAGCTGGGCCTTTGTCTCAGGTCTGCATCTGCCCTATCGCAGCCTCACAAGATGGCTGTGAGGGTGACTTCATTGAATGTGGTGACGTGCTCAAATGCTACAGGAGCGGGAGCCCGGTGGGTCCCTTAGATGTGCAGTTAACAAGGCCGGATCCTGATCACCCATGCGGCGCGAGCCCGCTTTCCATCCGAGCCTGCTGACAAAGGGCAGGTAACCGTCAGCGATTCCGCCTGGGGCCGGAGCTGTAGATTTGCATGAAGAGGATGGAGGGTTTTATTTTGTTGGCAGCTAAGAGCACGGAGCATGCAAAGAATGAGGCTTCGTATTCCTGGCCCGCTCGGGCAATTCAAATCCTCATTGCCATCAGTGTCTATATAAACACACACACTCTCCCTGTCCTGCTGATCTGGAGGGTAGGTGGTAGCTTTGCAGGAGATTGATCTGGGAGGGCGCTGCTATCCATATTTATTTGCTTGACAGGCAGTGTAGGCCAGGGCACTGAGCATAGTTCTGGGAACTTTAATTTCTAATCCTACTGTGATTGTGACCTGAGACTAGCCGCACTGAATGGGCGTGCCTCAGTTTCCCCATGTGTCAAAAGAGGGTAATAAGTAGTGACGCACCTCGCAGCAGGGAAGCAGTGTGTCTGGATGTTAGAGCAATGGATTAGATTAGACGCTTGGATTGCTCTAGTGCATAGAACGGGACTGGGTGTCAGGACTCCTGGGTTCTATCCCCAGCTCTGGGAGGGGAGTGGGGTCTAGTGGTTAGAGCAGGGGGGCTGGGAGCTTGACGGAGTCAGTTCCCCTTCTCTGTGCCTCACTTTCTCTATCTGTAAAATGGAGACCGTGCCACCTTGGGGGGAGCATGACGCATCCGTGGTTCTTTGAAGATGCTTGGTGCTCTTTGGGATCGGCTGCTTCTCGATCACTAGACCCCGTGTTGCTGCCTGCCTGTACCAAAGGCGTTCCCATTTCTACTTGCTCCCCGGCGCCCCTATTACTCCTGGCAACGGGGCGTCGGACAAGGAACGTCGAGGTGGGGGAGCACTGGAATGGTCCACGGGGACTTCTGAGAACTTCCCTGGCTAAGCCTGTAATTGCATCTGCCATGCCGAAGGCTTTCCTGGTGAAAAGACACCGGGCAGCCACGCTGGGATCCCAGGACTGGGGAGAGCTCTCGGACCAGCTCCGGGGCGACGCCTACGTCCCAGGTAGGTGCCTAGTTCATTACCCTTGGTGGGTGGTGGGGGATTCTACTTAAGGGCATGGGCCACTCTTAATGCTGGTGAAAGGGGCCAGATTCACCACCCTGACATTCTCTGCTTACCCTCCGAGTGCCCAGCCCAGGGAGCTGCACCTGCTCTGGGGCAGAAGGGCGCTCCATCTCCATGGCCTGGTAGATCCACAGCCTCTGGGCTCAGGCTGTGAATGAGGCAGGGACAACGGGGGTGGGTTTTGTGACCTGGCCCAGCCTCCCATAAGGCCCCCCCCCACCTAGCCCGCACAGGGAACAGAGAGCCCTGGGTGGGATTTGAACCAGTGGCCACGAGGGAAGATTCGTTCTAGCCTGAGCCGTCCAACTCCCTCCCACGTAATGGCCATGGTGTCCCGACTGTGGTGCCGCGGCGGCCTGGCTGGCTGGCTCGATGTATGGGCACAGGACAGTCTAACCTTCTGCCCCTTTGCAGGGGGCTTTTCATGGGGCTGCTGAGGGCTGTGAATCCAGGATGATACCCAGCAGGAAGCGATTCCTTCAGGGGATTTCGCCACATGCACACTGACCCCCAACCTGTGCCCCCCAACGGCCCATCATGCCTCCCCCACTGATGCCACCCCACCTGCCTCTCTCTCCGTGCCTGATTTCCACCCAGAAGCAAGGGAAGTCTAAAGTCATGTGCGTTTTGACCTTCCAGAGGCCAGCATGAGCATCGGCCCCCCAGCCTCGGGGGCGTTCCCAGAGGACAGGAAGAGCAGCTGGGACGGACCAAGTCAGAGGAGTTCCCCCAGGCCCCATCCAAACCTGCTGCCCCCTGGTACTGCAACGAAATACCCTAGAGCGAAGGTAAAGTGTGTGGGGTCTATTTGGTTTATTCCTGGCTGGGGGCGAAGTGTGCCATGCAGTGACTAGAGCGGGTGTGGGGGACGAAGAGTCCGGATTCCTGGGTTCCATACTTAGCTCTGGGGAACGGGTTTAGCAGTTTGAGCAGATGAATAGGAATCTGGACTCCTGGGCTCTACTCCTGGCTCTCACGGGTGAGTGAGGTCAAGTGGGTTAGCATGGAGCGGGCTGGGAGTCAGGACTCCTGGGTTCTGTCTCCAGCTGTGGGGTGTAAGGGGGTTGGGTGAGGATCCTGGGTTCTGTTCCTAGCTCTGAGAGGGGAGGGGAGACTAGTGGTTAGGGTGGGGGCCGGGCTGGGACTCGGGACGCCTGGGTTCTGTTCTCAGCTCTGGGGAGTGGGTTTAGCAGTTTGGGGTGACTGAGAATCGGGACTCCTGGGTCGTATGGCCATGGCTGAGGACCAAGCTTCAGAGTGAGTCAGTGGAGGAGCCAGCAATAGACACCCCCCGCCCCATTCCCTGTTGCTTGCGCTAACCGCTGCACCTCATGACCTTGCCCAAAGGGGAAATGTAGTGAGTACCCAGGATAGAAAACCTTTCTCCCAGGCTGGAGGGAGGAGATTTCACTCCAGCCCATACAGCTCCTTCGAAGCCCCTGGGGCTGTCCGAGAGTAAAACCGGACCCAGCATGGCTGCCCGTGTGCCTGCATAGGGTGGGCCACACCCCTCCCCCCTTCCTGTAGGGTTGTGATCACGCTCCCCCTCGGGCGCGACCAGGGTTAGATCGTAATCAGCCGTGAGGGGAAGATCCCAACGGCTGCCATGACCCTGGTTGTGGAAACATGGGGTGTTTTCTTCCCCCCGAGACCAGGTGGGAAAAGGGGATTGGGCACACCGAGCCCCTGGCATGGGAGGAGGAATGTGGGGGCACCGAGAGCCCCTGGCATGGGGGGGAAGGGAAAGCGAGGGCACCCAGATTTTCGAGCCAACAAGCAACACCGCTCAGCACTGCTTGGCTCAGCAGCTCTGTCAGGGGCCGGCCGCGGCAGTGCTCCCCACCTGCTCCATTTCCCCCCCCCGCTCCCTTTTGCAGGGGAAAGGCCCCCAGGGGCCGGGCGACTTCCCCTGCCCTGTGTGCAGCAAGGCCTTCCCGCTGCAGCGCATGCTGACCCGGCACCTGAAGTGCCACAGCTCGGTCAAGAAGCACGTCTGCCGGTACTGCGGCAAGGGCTTCAACGACACCTTCGATCTGAAGAGACACACGCGGACCCACACCGGTGAGGCTGGGGCTGCGCTTGGGAAGCAGCAAAAGGGGGAGGCTCTTCGGCTCAGTCCCTCCCTTCTGCCCAGATCCCTTATAATTAGACTCCTTCTCCCTCTCCCTTGTGGACTCCCGGGGCAGGAGAGGGGAGCTAGGTGGAATGGCAGGAAAAGGCAGCCCCGGGGGAATTGTGGGAAAGCATTGGAGGACCACCAGCACCCCAGGTAAGTAGCCTGCGTCCACGCTGCACAAAGTAGGCAGGTTAGAGCAGAACCCAGCTAGTCCAGGTTTAAAGCGCCGGCAAAGCCAGATCTGAGAATTGTGTGTAGGTGGGATTTGGCCAAGGTCCCGCAGGGCCTCTGGGGCAAATCAGGGACCTAAACCCAGGTCTCCCAAGTGCTCGGTTGGTGCCCTACCCCGGATCATCCTGCCTCTGTGCCCATTAGCCTGCGTTGACACCCCCCGATTTGGGGGAGAAGGTTTGTGTGTGGATGGGAGAGAGGTTAGGTCCTGGGTTCTCTCTGTCCCCTAACCCCGGCCCCCTTGCTGCAGGCATCCGCCCCTACCGCTGCCACGTCTGTGCCAAGGCCTTCACCCAGCGCTGCTCCCTGGAGTCCCACCTCCGCAAGATCCACGGGGTGCAGCAGAACTACGCCTACCGCGAGCGGCGCGCCAAGCTCTTCGTCTGCGAGGAGTGCGGCTTCACCTGCGCCGCCGGCGACGAGTACTACGGCCACGTGCGGCGGCTCCACCCCGGCAACGCCCTGCTGCACAAGTACCTCCGCAAGCAGGGCGCCGCCTCCCTCCGCTTCCTCCTCTACCCCGGCGGCTACTACGCCTGAGGCTGGGCCCAGAGCCTCGTGCAGTGGGACCTCCAGCACCAGTGCATTCTGGGATCCCCCAGCAATCCGGTCCAGGGGATAGCTAGCCACCCGACGGGGCTAGTAAGGATTGTTCCCTACAGCCAAGCCCCTCCTAAGGGACAAGAATCTACTGGGCTGATGGGACCTTTTCATCGATTCACAGAGTTTAAGGCCAGAAGGGATCCTTGTAATCATTGAGTCAGGCCTCTGTATAACACAGGCCCTCGGGCTGCCTGGAACTGGTTCCTGTTTGAAGGAGAGCAAAGCTCTTAGAAAAACAGTCCATGTGGGAGGCTCCGTCACAGCCCTACATCACGTACAGTGGCTGATTCGCCTCCCTGTAAAAAATTTCTAGTCCGTTTGTCAAGCTCCAGCTTCCAACCATCGGATCTTGTTAGATCTTTGCCTGCTAGACTGAGGATTCATAGACTCATAGACTTTAAGGTCAGAAGGGACCATTATGGTCATCTAGTCTGACCTCCCGCATGATGCAGGCTACATAAGCTGACCCACCCACTTTCCCTTAACTCAGCTGTTGAAGTCTCCAGATCGTGATTTAAAGACTTCAAGTCGCAGAGAATCCTCCAGCTTGCGACCCCTGCCCCATGCTGCGGAGGAAGGCGAAAAACCTCCAGGGCCTCTGCCAATCTACCCTGGAGGAAAAGTCCTTCCCGACCCCAAATATGGCGATCAGTAGAACCCCGAGCATATAGGCAAGATTCTCCAGCCGGACCCTCATTTTACCAGCGATGGCACGTTGAGAGCCCTCTGTTACCCAACTTCGGTTCCCAACGTAAGCACTCTCCGGCTGTGATCAAGTCACCTCTTTGCCTTCTCTTTGATGAGCTTGAGGGCCTTGAGCCTTTCACTAGAAGGCCTGTTTTCCAGTCCTTCAGCATGCTGTCACCGCTTCTCTGAACTACAGCGTCCCTCAGTGATCTCCCCCGATTTCCCCACGTTGTTTGATGGAGATTAGCCCTCCCAGCAAGGTCTTTTCTAAACACAGGTGGAGTGTCCTCCCGCATTAGAATGGAGAAGGATCAGAGGCCTGGAAACGCTCTCTGAGGAAGAGAGATCCTAAGGTTTAGGATGCAATAAGCAGAGACGGGAGAGAAGGGAAAGCAGGAGCTTCTGTTCTCCCTGTCTCATAACACAAGGATAAAGGGGGAAGTGCTTTGTCACATAATGGGTTATTTAGCCTGTGGAACTCTCTGTCACAGGATCCTGCTAAGTCCAAAAGCGACTGGATGTTTACATGGAGAATAGCCAGAGTTCATGCGTTAGGCAAGGGGATAAACCTCCTGCTGCATGGTTTAAGCTGATCCCTAATAGAGATCAGGCGGGATCTAGGGTGGGGGCAGATTATCCCACAACTGCCACCGCTAGGTGCTTACATTTTCCACTGAAGCGGCTCGTACTGGCCGCTATCAGAGCCAGGATCGTGGGCTACGTGCCTCGGGTCTGAGCCAGTCTGGCTGGTCCCTGTGTTCCTAATGAGCAGCTGCTGCAGGGGAAGGTGTCACGGTAGCTGAAACACATCAGCTGCTCTCTTGGTGAGACAGCCGCCTGTTGGTAGCAACAAAGAAAACCTTCAACCAGGAAAGAGCTGAAAGGACAAGAACCTGAGGGGCCTTTGAGAGGGCGGAACCCTAGAAACAGTCCCGGCAGCATCACTTTTTCAGAGCCTAGAGGAGTATTCACTGCAATGGGACACGACTTGTTTGTTCTAATTTCCTTTACTGTGGTATAATCCTCACCCAGCAGCGTGTAGCTCTTAACAGATCCTTTCTTTAGCTCTCTTCCTGATAAAGTAGAGCAAGGTGACCCATCCTGCCCAAGGGGTTGTGCCCTCTCTCCCGAGAGGCAGGTCCCTCTAGTTAATAGGGTAGTGAAGACACACTCTTAGGCTACAACAGGCCCGATTTCACAGAAGTACGTGCTGGTGTGACTTGAAAAATAAAACCTGTTTATTAACAAAAATACAACGGGTAGATAGAACCAGAAACGGAGGCTCTTCCAAGATGGGAACAGAGCCCAAGTGTTTCTAACAACCGGGGGCCAGAGGTGATGTCAGGTCTCAAACGGCTGCCCCTTTATTCAGTCCAGCGGTGGCCGCAGTGCGGGGCGGTGCATACGTAATACAACCTCATGGCGTCCTAGACAACAGGAGAAGGCAACAACTGAGTGTGGCCCAGGAACATCTTGATGCCAACTAGTGGAGGGTGCAGGGACTCAGATTCCAAGGCTAGGAGGGCCAGTTGTGATCCTCTAGTCTGACCTCCATCCTAGCCTGAGCAAGAGAACAGCCCCAGGTCTCTTAGAAACACATCCCCATCTTGATTTAAACATTGTCCATGATGGAGAATCCACCAGGACCCGTGTTCCAATGACTAATTACTCTCGCTGTTCAATGTATGCCTTATTCCCAGTCTGAATTTCTCTAGCTTCAACCTCCAGCCATGGGAGCATGTTAGCCCAGAGATACTCAGACCTCAGTGGTTCAGGAGGGATTTTGGGGGGAGGGATAGCTCAGTGGTTTGAGCATTGGCCTACTAAACCCAGGGTTGTGAGCTCAATGCTTGAGGGGGCCATTTAGGGAACTGGGGTAAAAATCTGTCTGGGGATTGGTCCTGCTTTGAGCAGGGGGTTGGACTAGATACCTCCTCAGGTCCCTTCCAACCCTGATATTCTATGATTCGATTCTATGATTCAGGAGCCAGATTAGCAAGCAACATTACCCGAAAGAGCCACAGTCAGGGGAATTCATTGTTTCATTTTCTATAGTACTATAGATTCATATTGAAACAGTAGGATGGGAAACATTGAGTTATATATAATTCTCACAGCAAAATGACTGAATATTATTGTATCAACTACAATTGGCTAATAACATATTACAAGCATCCTGATTGGTTAATAATTAAGTGTTTTAATATGTGCTGTAAAGAGCTGCAAGAGACACATTAAAGAGCCACTTGCGGCTCTCCAGCGTCCATCTGAGTATGACTGTTAGACCTTTCTCTGCTAGACTGAAGAACCCATTTTTATTAAATAGTTGTTCGCCCTGTCAGTACTGAGAGACCCCTCAAGTCACCCCTTCACCTTCTCTTCGTTCTGCTAAATAGATTGAGCTCCTTGAGTCTATCGCAATAAGCCATGTTTTCTAACCCTTTGATCATTCTTGTGGCTTTTCTCTGACCCCAATTTATCATCAACATCCTTCTTGAATGGTGGGCACCAGAACTGGACCCAGGATCCCAGCAGCGGTCACACCAGGGCCAAACACAGAGGGAAAGTAACCTCTCTGCTCCTACACAAGATTCCCATTTATGCATCCCAGGATCACATAGGCTCTTTTGGTCCCAGCATTGCACTGCGAGCTAATAGTCAGCTGATTATCCCCCCCACACTCCCAAAATTTATTTCAGCGTCACTGCTTCCCAGGATAGAGTCCCCCATCCTCTAAGGATGGCCTGCATTCATTGTTCCCAGATGGATACATTTAGTTGTATTAAAATGCATGAGGTTTACAGGGATCCCCTGGGTCTGGTACCTTACTAGTTCTCCAAAGAGTGTCACAAAGTCTCTACTAAAAGCCTGTGTCTCACTGGTGTCCATAATCATTGCAAAACGTACATACCAATAATATGCAAGGAGCTGGGTATCTATACTGAACATTATGTTCTTACGGTCTGTGGCTTGGGGCCTGTCACCAGAAAAGGTGAGAAATGGGTTTCTTTCAGGCAAGAGATGTTTATCTCGCTGTCTGCCTACCTGTAAAGTGAGTACTGGATGGGTCACAATGGACATCCATTCACAGTCTGAGCAAAATGCTAATCAAGTGATCACGGAGTCTCCAGGGGCGACCCTAGGCAGGAAAACCCATGCAACAGGGTTGTCCTGTTTGCAAGTGCGGACAATGGAGTTTTGGACTATAACCGTAAAGACAAACTCCACAGAGGAGGAACCCGTGCTTGTTTCATGAACGGAAGATCCCAGCCAGGCCTGGCTGTAATACGCTGGAAGGATTTTGAGAGAGCTTTTGCTCTATGGCACGACAACGTCGTCTTAGTTAAGTTTAGGCTCTAGGATGCGTGGTATGGTTTTATTTTCTATGTAACCTTGTGTTTCCAGTAATTCTGATGTCTATCCTTTGATGCTGTTCTTTGTTAAATAACCTGACTCTTGCTTTCTCTATAAACAAATTAAGTGCTGTGGGTTGAGCGAAGCTGTGTTCTGTGGTGTAACTGATATGCTGTGATGTACTGTGAGCGTCCAGTGGATCAGGGGTTGGACACCACAGGGGGATGCTTGAGGATTGCTGTGTCTGCTGTTAACCTGCAAAGAGACGGTAGGGCCTGCATAGGCCTAGAGGGGAAGCTGGTGTTGCCGGAGGCTGGTGGTGGTGGAGAGCTACGCCCTGGCAGGCACAGACCAAGCTTCCTCATGCTAAGGGCAGCTGGTGGTGAGGTGCATCACACTCAGACTAATCCATTCCTTGATGGGATGCAGCCTAGTCCATCTAGCTTCAACTTCCAGCCAGTGGATCCTGTTACAACTTTGAAACCGCTCCACATGGGCCCAAGACAGGCAGGTACATGGAAATAAGACCCCAACTAACTCTACGTTATTCCAAACCTAGGAGCAGATTCCCTCACCTCAGCCCTTGCGCTGTGAGACTGGAAGAATACTGCTTCTTTGTGCCCGCACCTGGAAAGAAGGGACAGGTCAGCATTGAATCAGAGTAGGGATGTAAGCTCAGAGAGAACGGATTTGGGTTGGCAGCAGTGTTTAGCTGGGAACGAACCAGCAGGATCACTGGGAGTCTTGTGGTTAAACACATGATGTTATTGTTAACCATGTTTATTATAGTTGTGGCTAAAGCCCAATCAAGATCAAGCCCCATGGTGCTAGGTTCTGTACAGACAGTTCCTATCCCAGGATCTGTCAGCACTGCAATAAAAGTCCCCAGGGCTCAG